TCATTTACTCATCTCATCACTACATATACCATACTCACTCTGTCCGTCTTTGCTGCAGTATTATTTGATACCTGATGTTTGTGTTTGATGTTGTTAAGGTTACATCGTGTTATCTGTTCCCTGTGTTTTGGATTACCTTTTGCCACGTTTCTGTTCTGTTTATTTTATACTTTAATAAACTGCACTTATCTATCCTTGTTTTCTCCTGGCATTCCGTGACATGTTTGTGCGTATGTACAGTATTGGCTAGCGGCAGCAGCAGTTTTAACATTAAGTGACATGACATCTGGCACTCCTTGTGTGTGTGTATGTTCTTTATGGGGAAATGCTTATGCAATTTAGCTTATTGGGTTCACATTCTGATCGTGTCTGCTTGCTGGTATATAATGTGCATCATCAAATCTTTTATTTACAAACAAAACCGTGTAGTTTACAGCAGAAACGGCGACAAACGATCGTGACTCCTGGCAAGAACTCTGGCAGCTGATACATAAAAATGTATAATAATAATAATAATAGTACAATTGTGGGAACTTTGCATCATCATTTTAAAAAACACCACCGCACGCCACTGAGTACAGTGTAGTTTTACCGAGCAAACAGCAGAAACGGCGAGAAAAACCGTGGCAGCTGCCACGAACTCTGGCACCTGCCTTTGACTGCTGGCAAGAACTCTGGCAACTGATACATAAAAATGTATAATAATAATAATAATAATACAATTGTGGGAACTTTTCATCATCATTTTAAAAAAACATCACTGCACGCCACTGAGAACAGTGTAGTTTTACCGAGCAAACAGCAGAAACGGCGAGAAAGACCGTGGCAGCTGCCTTTGACTCTTTATGAGTACTAATAAACGGCTAATATAGTAATATGCAAGCAACTAGTTAATAACTAAAGTGTTACAGTAAATAAATAAATAAATGTTTTGTCACAGTGTCTGGTTGTGGTGCCCTGGACTGGCCACTTGAGGGCGCTCTCCCGTTTCTGTGTTTCATGTGTTGAACTCCATTTCCCATAGTCCCTTGCCTGTCGTGTCTGTTCTGATCATGATCACCTGTTAATCATTTACTCATCTCATCACTACATATACCATACTCACTCTGTCCGTCTTTGCTGCAGTATTATTTGATACCTGATGTTTGTGTTTGATGTTGTTAAGGTTACATCGTGTTATCTGTTCCCTGTGTTTTGGATTACCTTTTGCCACGTTTCTGTTCTGTTTATTTTATACTTCAATAAACTGCACTTGGATCTATCCTGTTTTCTCCTGGCATTCCGTGACATGTTCGTGTTTGTGCGTATATACAGTATTGGCTAGCGGCAGCAGCAGTTTTAACATTAAGTGACATGACATCTGGCACTCCTTGTGTGTGTGTATGTTCTTTATGGGGAAATGCTTATGCAATTTAGCTTATTGGGTTCACATTCTGATCGTGTCTGCTTGCTGGTATATAATGTGCATCATCAAATCTTTTATTTACAAACAAAACCGTGTAGTTTACAGCAGAAACGGCGACAAACGATCGTGACTCCTGGCAAGAACTCTGGCAGCTGATACATAAAAATGTATAATAAATAATAATGATAATAATACAATTGTGGGAACTTTGTATCATCATTTTAAAAACACCACCACCGCACGCCACTGAGAACAGTGTAGTTTTACAGAGCAAACAGCAGAAACGGCGAGAAAAACCGTGGCAGCTGCCACGAACTCTGGCACCTGCCTTTGACTGCTGGCAAGAACTCTGGCAACTGATACATAAAAATGTATAATAATAATAATAATAGTACAATTGTGGGAACTTTGCATCATCATTTTAAAAAACACCACCGCACGCCACTGAGAACAGTGTAGTTTTACCGAGCAAACAGCAGAAACGGCGAGAAAGACCGTGGCAGCTGCCACGAACTCTGGCAGCTGCCAGAAACGACTAGTGGCAGCCAGTGTTGCCAACTAATTTTCAGGGGAAGTTGCTAAAGGAAGGTTGATTTGTTGCTAAAAGTTGCTAAATGAAGTTGCGATGTCATTGCGCGGTGACGTCATTGCGTAATCACAATGCAAAATTGTCACTGCATCAAATCTCAGCAAAAAATAACATTTTTATATGTTAATTTAGATGTGTTTATAAAATAATATAAATGCATAATATAATATTAAAATATAAATAACTAATTTTAAATACAACATTGAATTATTGAACACTTTCACATTTCTGAATGATTATAATTTAAGTTTATTTTTATTAGCTAGTAAACTAGTAAAACTACTCATTCTGAACAATTATAGTTTCAAGCAGTGTATTAGTAGTTAGTATGCTACACTCTAAGAAAAGTCTGTAAAAATAGGGCAAAATCTACTAATATTATTATTCACAGGTTTTTTACCTACATTTTAAATTACGCATTGTATTTTGTGTTTTTCGAATTACAGGGTTACAATGGATAACGGATAATGTCCTGGAAAATTACTAGTAACTTTTTCATTTTTCTTACCGTGCACTAACTGATCAACAATCTCAAGTACAAGCTACTAACAAGGTGTATCATAAATGAACAATTATTCTGATTATTAAATTAAACAACTGCAAATAGCAGCTAACTTAATTCATGTGATGTGTGTACTGCTAGGCACCTTTGGTTTCCTCTTTTTGTGTAATTTAGATGGAAAATGTGTACCTTTTTTATCACTTATCAAAAGTTGCTAAATGTTGCCATATAAATTAAAAAAATAGCTAAATTTGTTGCTAGGTGCCTTTGGAAGTTGCTAGGGTAGTCTGAAAATTTGCTAAATTTAGCAACAAAATTGCTAAGTTGGCAACACTGGTGGCAGCTGCCACGCACGAACTCTGGCAGCTGCCAGTGGCAGCTGGGGATGCCACCGGAAGTGGCGCTGCGACCTGCCGCTGCCAGAGAGAGCGCCAGTCCCTGCTGTGAATTTGTCAACAATGTTGTTGTTCACTTAACAACATTCTGGAGTGCTTACATATAATCCCGCAGTCAAAGCCATACTGTTTGTTATAAATAAGTGTATGTGTTTAAGACATGCGCGAATCCTCCGCCCATAAAGTACCCCTGGAGCGCTCTCTCCTCTCGGCCTCACGGAGAGCAGCAGAGCGCGTGCGCACATCGGCGCACAATGTTGAGCAAAACGGACTAGAGCAGAAACGGAAAGACGCGCAAGCAAATAAACATATTTTTCCCTTAGCGAAGTGAACGACTGTCGACCTAGAATATAACTTATAAAAACATGACGGAGCCCCAGTCAGCACTGTTACTCAGGAGACAGCTAGCAGGTAATTTTTGAAAGGCTGTTGGCAAGACCAGGCTAACAAACCGGTGAACATTTAGCCTGCCAATGCAGTCAAGACGGAGGTGTTAGCCGTTAGCCGATAGTTTAGCTGCTAACGATCGCTGTATTTATCTTAACGCATTCGTTAGCGAGTTAGCAGCTAAAATGCCCGGCTAAAGGCTAACTCTGCCGTCTTTTGTTATTTTTAAATGCCTTTTTTGGTACGTCTAACGATTGAATATGAATCTGTGAACCATGAAGATACAATTAAAATAACAATACGCGTGCATTCTTTTGATTTCATTCAGTTTGATGTTGTAAATGTATAAAAGTCGGGCATTTTCGTCCGTATCACACCGGCGGCGCCGTTCGCAGGCGGCTAGCCAGTGTTTTGACATCTGTGTCCGGACGCAGTTTACACAGGCGCACCAGCAGTCGGTATATCGTCTCGTTAACGCAGAGAATCTCTGTCATTGGCCCCGTTTTCGTTCACCGTCTTATCATGGTCCGTCGAATCAAAATTGTTATCACAAGGCGCAAAGGTTTGATTTATAAGCCGTACATTGTGTGCCATTGCCCCGCAGCGGGGTGATCAAATTCCTTTGTTTTTCTAGGCTGGCTAACAGGCTAAGCTAACAAATTGATGGCTGCTGTTTGAACACCAGCTCACCGGTACAGCGAGAACTAGAGACCCCCAGTCCAACTGTACTGTCGTAATACATGTACATACGCGTATAACACCAACCTCATTCTTTGTTTATGGTGATATACTTAACATGCTGTTATTAGAGTCGTTGTTAGTTTGTTTCTCCCGTTCTTTGTCCAGTACACGCTGAGCAACATGATCCGTGAGTGTCAGCTTTACTCGGCTCAAGCCAGAGGATTTCTCCACTGGGCCCCATTTGCGCAGTGCAGCCAGTGAAGTGAATTAGTTGCAATGGGGTCAAACTAAGCAGATTACGTGAGTTTTCTTGGTTTAAACTTGATGTACATGTCAGACCATGTTTAAAAATGTTAGATCAGGTTCATGACAGCTGTCTCTTTGCGGCATGGACAGCTCAAGCGAGTCAACAGAGTGAGCTGCACCCCGGGCCTGTCATGACGTCTGGTTCTGTGGTGGCCTTGTGGCTGATTGACTGATTCAGGGGATCAGGGCTGTTTTGGTTGTCTCCTTTCAGCAGGACCAGCATGGTGAACTCATCGGCCTTGTTCTAAACTCAGCGAACCCTCTGAGGGAACAAACGCCTCACAACATCCATTTATGCTGGATTGTAAAGATACGGGCCAGAAAAATGTAGGCACAACTTGTGAGATCTTAACTTCGTAAGTCGAAAGTGAAGGCCTGTTCACACCAAGAACGATAACTATACAAGTGTCTGCAATAATGTTTTGTTAATTACAAGTGCACACTGCAGTTATGCCTTCTGCCACTTTAAATGCTCAAGCTCTTTAAATTGGGGTTGATTCTGATTGGTTGTCAATGTTTATATTATGCATCAGCTGGAATAATTGTTTTTTTCAGTGATATTGTTTCACTGTGTCATTGTGGTTGTGATGTGGATTTATTCTTCTAGAACTGCAACGTTTGCTAAAACTTTATAGTTATTGTCATTGGTGTGACGGGCTCTTTAGAGTAATTGTGCGGCTTTGCAATAAAAACATGAATCAGTGCTTTAGCATTGAGATTAGGTTTGTTGTAAATGTGGTTTAAATTGAGTTATTTATTAAGAGCCAAACAGCAGTAAAAGACTGTCTTGTCGTGTTGTGTTGCAGAGTAGAGGCGCTTAGTAAGAATACAAGACTGTCTTAATGATTCATGTGCTCATAAAAGTGACACATCTATATGACTGGATCACCCAGCTGTCAGCTTGTTTTTGTCAACAAGGTGGTCCAGTGATTTTGTTTTGCTCTCTCTTGTAGAACACAGAAGTTCAGACAGAGCGTCTGAGACTACAGGCACTGATAGGCCAATGTTCTTTGGCTTCAGGCTCAGATGATCTGATAACAAAAAGGCAAATTGGTTATTTCTTGTCTGAAATGCTGCACAGATGCAAAAACAGTTTTGATTTTGCAACCGTGGTTGTAGGGCGTACTGTCAACACCCATGTGAAACCAAAAATGCCCCTTTTGACCTGAAATGTCACATTTGTTTTTCCCTCTGTCATATAAAATGGCTAATCAGTATCTTCATGTCCTATTTTCCTGACAGAACTGAATAAAAATCCTGTGGAAGGTTTCTCAGCCGGTTTGATAGATGATAATGATCTCTACAGATGGGAAGTGCTAATAATCGGCCCTCCTGATACACTTTTGTAAGTGTTTTTGTTTTCTTATTAAATGCCATGCCACATAATTCCTTAATAAACATAAGTGTTATGAGCTATGAGTTAAAGGATGAGTGCAGTTATTCAGAATTAAATTTTTGTGTTACTTGGAAAAGTCATACAGGTTTGCAAAAACATGCAGTGAGTAAATAATGGCAGATTTTTAATTTCACTTCAATATTATATAATCACTTTCAATATTATGTTATATGCAAAACATTTTAATACATTGCATCCAATGATTGTACCACCACAATATTACTGCTGAATAACATGAAGCCTGCTATGTTTTTTTTCTGTTTATAGTGAGGGTGGTGTTTTTAAAGCCCATCTTACGTTTCCCAAAGACTATCCTCTCAGGCCTCCTAAAATGAAGTTCATAACAGAAATATGGCATCCAAATGGTAAGTATGGGTTCATCACACTTGGTCCTTTACATTTTTTTTTTTTTTCAGATCAGTATTCATTAACCATGTTTGTAAAAAAAAAAAAAAAAAAAGACTTTCAGCTGAAGCTGTTTTGTTTTGTTTGCAGATTTCCGCTGAATTTAAACATCCATTATTCTTTAAGCTGCACTCACTAATTTTTTTGCTAATTGATAATGCAGCTCGCCTGGACTTACTCCAACACCTAACATTGTGAATTCAGCCTCATAAAATTATGGCGGAAACCTTTAAAATTATGCACATTCCCGGCAACTTGTGTGTTATTGTTAGCCATTTATTGGTGGTAATTTAATGCTATCAGCCACCATATTTATGATTTTCAGTGGTCTATTAAATTAAATGCAACAGTAAAAGTGGTTAATTGTAAGGCTCTGTAATAACTGACATCAAATCTCATGTCTTCTCTCTGTATTGTTTGCAGTTGACAAAAATGGTGATGTTTGTATTTCGATATTGCACGAGCCGGGGGAGGATAAATACGGCTATGAAAAACCAGAAGAGCGCTGGCTCCCCATTCACACCGTAGAGACCATCATGATTAGCGTCATCTCAATGCTTGCTGACCCCAATGGAGATTCCCCTGCCAATGTTGATGCAGCAGTAAGTCTAATGCTAACTTGTTGAACCTACTGAACTTGACTGACTATAGATGTTTATCAGTAGATATTTAATAAATAATTTGCTTCATGTTCCATCGTGTGCACTTTAGCTGAATGTGATGCTGTACTTTTCACCATACCTTTCCTCATAAATGAGAAGTTACATTTCACCTTTATTTTTACATGTGTATTAATTAATTTTTGTATCTGTTTAATATTTCAGAAAGAGTGGAGGGAAGACAGACATGGTGAATTCAAAAGAAAAGTCGCCCGCTGTGTAAGACAGAGCCAAGAGACTGCCTTCGAGTGATATTCATCTAGCAGCTTGTAGCTTCACTATTTTCAGGGTAAGCAAGTGGACTTTTACCATTTCATTTTACTGCCAAAGTCTTGTGACCATTTTTTTTCTTCTTCCCCAACTTTACTGACTGACAGACAACTCCCAAACACAGAGCCAGAAAATGCAAAGAACCATTATTGCCGGCTTTAAAGCCACCCCTTAGCTGAATGGGGTTTTATCCTTGACGAATGGTGGCAGTTATCCACCTTCAGACTGGATGTGGTCACAGAGTAGATCTACAGGCTTTTTAATGTTGATTTGCATGATTTTACATGATTTTATTACCATGTTGATTTTTAAAGAAATTGTAAATGGTGCATTAAACTTTATCTGCATGTGAAAGTTATAGAAAATATTACTGACACTTGTACAGGATTAAAATAAGACAATTTTTAAATTGCTTCACCCTCAGAATAGAGCTTTTGTCAGTCTGAGTAGAGTTCTGCCATAGTAATCGTGCGAGCTAACCTGTTATAACAAGTTCCCAAAGCTTGTTCAAAATGGAGGTTCAGTGGTAAGATGTTAGGTAACATTAGTGTCTCTGTTGTCTGCTTAGACTGTCTTAGGTAAGCTATAGACCCTATAGACCTCTCAGGGCTTATGAAATGTTTGCACTGTTTGCCTCTTATTTACACAGTGGCAGTATCCTTTAAATTGGTATACATATAGTTTGGGGTTGGTAAGAAATGTTGTCTCTTTCTCACCAAGGCTGCATTTATTTAATTTAAAATACAGTAAAAACAATATTATTAAATTTTTTTACAAATTTGGTTTCATTATATTTTTTTATGTAATTTATGGCAAAGCAGAATTTTCATCAGCCATTATTCCAGTCTTCAGTGTCCTGTCTCCTTCAGAAATCATTCTAATATGCTGATCTGGTATTTACGAAGCATTTCTTATGAAAACATTTCTTACTTTTGAGCTATATAGGGTATCCTTGCTAAATAAGAACATTTATTTCTTTAAAAAAAAAAAAAAAAAAAATTGTGCCGGCCCCAAACACGGTAGTGTTAAAAAAAAAAAGAAAAAAAAGTATGTTTAAAATTGAAAAAATTAATAAATAAACTGCTGATCTGTATCACTTTTTTAGCCTTCAGGTTTTAAAGGCTTTACATATCTAAAGGTCTATAGTTAGTCTGGCATTTGGTTTATGTTCTGACATTTTGTTGAAATGTCTCTAATATCTCTGTGTCTTTCACAGGTCTCCAGTTGAGAAACAACATGGCACTTTCTTGCACTCTACCAACTGGTTTTCATTGAATGTTGGCAGTAACAGACTGGCATTAATAGGCTGCAATAGAACATAAGGCCAATGAACTGATACAACTTTTCAGGAAGAGATTGTAAAGATGTGTACATAGCACAGACATAAAAAACGGATAATATATAATAACTTGTAATAATCCATCCAGCAAGACTTGGTACCAAATAAAATAGCAGTTCTGTAGTAGAGTGTGACATCATGTAAAGTTCTTGAAGACTATAGTTCATCTCCCACCCTCCCCCTCTGGCTGCCGCACATCTAGTGTGCATCAGATCTGTTACAGGTGCAAGTGGCCTGCCCTGACGTACCCAATTGTCAGTTTGAACAAAAGTCTGCTTTGGCATTTCTCACTCAAACTCGATCCAGTTTTAGGGTGGGGAAGGCAGGGGTAAGCTATCGATAGGATTCAAAGCATGCTCGTCATGATGGAAGGGTTTCTCAATCGGGACACTTCAGGTAAAATAGCTGTAAAGCACGGTCATTTTCTTATTAATTAGGGGTCATGAAGGTACTTCTCTGATTTGGTTTTAAATGGGGTGGGCGGGGGGGCAGGGGAGTGCTCTTATCTCGGCTGAAAGGATAACTGCATTCTGAGCGTCAGGTTCTCATCTTTTCTCTTTTGTCGTCCATTTGAGGCAGGGAGGCAATGGCAAGGAAACCCATCAGATGTGATTTTTCTTTTTTCTGCATGTTTTAATTTCTCTTTTGTTTTCAAAAGTGCCTCCAGTTTAAACCACTTGGCTTGTTATGTGCCCTGCATCAAACAGGAGCTAAAGGGAGGAACATGTTTAAGAACTGCTCAACATGCTCTCAAGCTTGTGTGAATGTGAGGTTTTTTCATAACCCTTGTACCAGCATTCTGAATTATTTTGGTGTGGCAATAACTGCTTTGCCCACATTATGTGCGGACATCTTAAAATTGGATATTGGTATGCGATTTCTAGTAAAGATTCTCCCTTGTTTTTTTTGTGTGGGGGGGGGGCTTGACATCTCTTTTGTGTGGTTTCTTTGATAGGTTTCTTAGCCATGCTTTAAATGTAGATTTCTTGCAAACAGTTTCTGGGATTTCAGATGAGGTGTGTGAGTGCGTATGTTTAAGGGCGATTGAGCAGAGAGGTGTGTGTGTGTGTGTGTGTGCGCACCGTATCCCACTCTCTCTCTCCTCCCACAATCTTTAATTCTCTGGTTAATTTTATTCTGGCTCTGACAGACTACTGCAGTTCTTTTGCCTAATGTACAAAGATAAAAAACCAATGTATATTTTTCATGTTATGGAAATTGTCACCTCTAGTGAGTTCTTCTAAAATATAATTTTTTTCCAATACTTGTTTGAGTGTGCTGTCTGTGTTTAAAGTGTTGTCACAAACTTGAAAGTATTACGAAATTCATCCATTCATCAATACCAGCGTAACTACAAATGTATGTGCTTTTTATTAAGGTTATTCTTCTCAAAACATGACAATTTTACATAAACCATTGGCTGAAAAGTGTATCTACTGTTCTGTAGTTTTTACGACATTTTTGTTCTGTATAGCTTTATTTTTATTTATAGCAGTTTTAGTACTAGAAGTTATTTATGAGTTAGATGCCAAGGCAACATTTGTCATTTCTTGTAGGTAATTTATCTTGTTTATTATTTTTATTTCAATTAGTTTCAATTTCACAAAAAGGTTTTTAATAGTTTTAGAAAACAATAACAACATTGGCTAGGACAATATTGCTTGGCTGTCATAAAGTCAATTGAATTGAAGAAAATGTGCATTTGAATGTGCAACAGATGCCACCCTCGGTGGTGTAAGTGCCATGTAGTTGTACTGAGACTTTTATACAACCGATTAGGCTCTATTTGTAGAAAGGGTTTTGGAGATGTGAGCCAAAGAGGGCATTTATCTAAATATAATTCCTTATCCTTAATGTCTCTGGAACAATCATGAGGAACACGTTGGCTTTTGGTCAAAATAAAACAAATAAGAGTGCATATTAAAAGACCCCATGTACAGTTGGTTTATTTGGCACACAGACTTGCACATTATGTAAACTGTCATTGATAATACACTTTACAAACGTAATGTGTATCTTTGGCTCGGTGCTTCCACACACACACACTCACTCCTCCCAAATCAAAACCTTCCTCCCGCGGTCTCTCGCGGTATTAGGCGACCAGCCACGGATCCGACATGGCGGAAGGTATGAGAATGGTTTCTTTCTTGTTTTTCACGTCCTTTCTGTTTAACACATGCAGCGGCTGTACCTTTACACGATGGACAGACCTAACAATGCATGTAATTGATTTCACCACAGCCAGTTGGCAACAAATATTTCGTACCTCTGAAATGAGCCTCATTATTGCTTCGATTGTTTTTTCCAGCTAACGTTAGCTGGTTGCAAGTCAGGTGGTGGGCTGGGCGGTGGTAATAATAATTTGCCGGGTGATTTGAGCTCTCGTGTAAAGAAAGACATATAAGATAAATGCTTTTTCTAAAAGATGTCTAAAGTTGTTTTTGTCGCAGAACATCCAACGTTATGATTTTGAAATAGAAATAGTTGATTTTAGAAACATTGTCGTCATGTATTCTGATTTTGCGCTTGCCTTCCAAGTCATTTTTTTCATTAGAATTTGCCCTTTTTAGTCTTTTATCCTGTTCTTCGTCGTCTCAGATGAGAAATTCACCTGAATGTATAAGCTGGTTTTTAAATCTGACAATGTATAGCACTGTATATTTGATATATTTCAATATATAACATGACACTGATATATGATAACAGTAGAAAATAAAGTGAAGTGAAGTGAAGTGACATGTGGCCAAGTATGGTGACCCATACTCGGAATTAGTGCTCTGCATTTACCCATCCAAAGTGCACACACACAGCAGTGAACACACACAAACCATGAACACACACCCGGAGCAGTGGGCAGCCATTTATGCTGCGGCGCCCGGGGAGCAGTTGGGGGTTCGGTGCCTTGCTCAAGGGCACCTCAGTCGTGGTATTGAAGGTGAGAGAGAGCGCTGTACATTCACTCCCCCCACCTACAATCCCTGCCGGTATGAGACTCGAACCCACAACCTTTGGGTTATGAGTCCGACTCTAACCATTAGGCCACGACTTCCCCAGTAAATGTATAACTCTTCAATGTTGTTATGTACGGATAATTTGCACATATCTTGATTGCATATAAAGAAGTCGCAGCAGGCGGTTGCAACCGTTACTTTTATCAGCTCATATGTGACATCTCCCTTCTTTATCTTTCCACAACATGCTGTAAAATAATAACAAATTTAAATGCCGTCTTTTTCAAATAGCGTAAGAGCACTAACAATCTTTCCGTCATGTTGTTTGCTTCTTTTTAAAAGACGACGTGGCTAATAATAAGAGTCTAGTGCAGTTGTATTATAATAATGCAACCATGTAAGGTTAGGGACGAGCATATTGGTTGAAGCCATGTTTGGTACATTTTTATGGCTGTACCTCTTTCTGAATAAAGATTAATAGAGCAATTTAATGTATACTAATTACACTATTTCCAGATAATCGAGAATGATTTATCCTTCATCTGAATTCATTGTGTAAATTCATGAGGTGTAATTCATGTAGCCTTGTTGGTATTGCAAGCAGGTTATTGCTTCACAAGGTTTCTTGTCATCTGATTGGCTTTTAAATACTTTATGGGGCCTATTTGGATGGTTCTGAGTTGTTGATTGCTTAGGACACTGGATTCTTGAATCTAGGCTAAAGGCAAATGGCTCACATATTAAACTGCCCACTGCTCCGGGTGTGTGTTCACGGTGTGTGTGTGTTCACTGCTGTGTGTGTGCGCACTTTGGATGGGTTAAATGCAGAGCACTAATTCCAAGTATGGGTCACCATACTTGGCCACGTCACTTCACTTCACTTCACTTCACTTTAAACTGAGAACATGCCTTTGCTTACAAGCACACAGGTTTGATTGGCTGCAATGACTAGGGTAGACTTTTCGCAAAAATTACAGCTTTCATATAGGCCTAGTACATTTACACCAGGTGCTGCTTGCTGTTTTTAGCAACATTCAAAGATGTTCCTAAATGCCAAATGGTAACACATTATTAGACCGGCTTTCTCAGCACCTAAGCTTATGTAGTGCAATGGCAAAGTGTAACCTCAGCATTCTAGAGAGACACAGAAATAAATTCAAGGAGCGAGGAAGGAAGCGGCCCGTGTTGGAATGTAGGTTAAGCTGTGAAATCCTCTAGTTACAGATCCAAGGCAATTACCACACTGAGAATGGCGAGTTTAAAGTTGTTATTTTGTGGTTTGAGTGGAATGATATGGATCCTGAGGGTGTATATGAACGCTTGTGTTTGTTCTTCATGAATTAGACCATGTTGAAAGTGTTTTTACTTCTCAAAAAGCAGAAAGACAGTTTTCCTCACATAGCGTTGGTCCACTTCACCTCCCTTGAGCGTGCTTGGGAAGTCTGTCTGTGTCAGCAGTTTTCATATGAAATCTGTTTTGTCCCTCTCTTTCTCTTCTTCATGGCATTTCCACTTCCCTTTTTCATCACCCATCACATTTCTTTTCACTTTAACTGTTTATTATCCATTTACCCTAATTTTCTCCTTATACCCCATGTGCTTATTCACTGTGTTCCACTTCTTGTCATCTCTCCCCTTCTTGCCCCTTACCTCTCCATCATTTTCATTATACCTGCAGAGGAGGTGCAGAAATTGCAGAAGCACCTTGCTCTGCTGAGGCAGGAGTATGTGAAGATGCAGCAGAAGCTGGTGGAGACGGAGAGGCGGTGCTCCGTGTTGGCCGCTCAGGCCACTCTCCCCGGCTCCACCTCCCAGGCCAGTGACAACTTCATCAGCCGCCTGCTGGCCATCGTGGCTGACCTTTATCAGCAAGAGCGGTACAGGTGAGCACTGGATGTGAACTGTCACTTACTGTTAGATGAGGTCGTATTTACATTTACATTTAGTCATTTAGCAGACGCTTTTATCCAAAGCGACTTACAAATGAGGACAATTAAAGCAGTCAAAACTAACAAAAGAGCAATAATATAT